AAGAAACAACGGGGCGAACGCGTGTTAGACTACAAAGTAAACAGTATAAAAACTCTGCAAAAAAACTGTTTCATGAAGCTACTCAGAAAACCCTCTCAAATTGCCACCAATTCCCTAGATGATTTCAGGCCAGCTCCTGCACTTTCGTTTCCTCAACTGAATGGTGAGGAGATTGGACTAAATGCACTGCCACGATCCCTTCCAGCCTTCTTCCCTGACCCTCTGACCATTACACTTGCTGTAATTCCACTGTGGGTAGGGCTCAGCATTTCCCAAAGTGTGGTGTGCCAAAGGACCTAGGGTGTTTGCTTAAGAATTCAGATTCCTGGGCAACACCCAGACCTACAGAATCAGAACGGGGAGCAGAGGAGGAGGCAGACAGAAATCTGTTTTTTAACAAGTGCCTCAGATGACCTGTTGACACACTAGGGGTTGAGAATCACCAATATAGTTTAATAAGAACAATCCAGTTTTACCTCAAATCTATTTCCCAGCCTTTTTTGAGACTAAGAAGGGATGGGCAATAGACATAAAAATTTTCCGGAAAGTAACTAAGTCGTTTAACAAATATTTATTGAATGGCTACTGGGTGTCAGGCACTATTCTGGAGCAGCAGACACATTTTTGAGCAAAAGAGTCCCACCCTCATGCAGCTGACATGAAGGATAGAGAAAGTAAGCAAATGTATAACTGTGGTGATGCCATCAGTGGGAGGAGAGGAGGCTTTTTTGTTTATTATTATTTTTTTTTTTAGCAGGGGAGGCGGTTAGATCAGAAAAGAAGAAATTTGGGGGAAAACATATTCATTGCCAGTTTTTAAAGTGTCACTTTTTATAGTGTAAGAACCTAAGAATATGTGTACGTAGTTTGGCTCATATGTAGTGATCACATCTAAAATGTATAAAGAAATATAAAGACTCAGGGAAAAATAATCTTCTACAGGGAGATAAAACGTTCTTAGGACATTTTACATAGTTAGCCTGGACTGGCAGTGAGAGAGTAAATAATATCAGATTCCATTCTGCTATGAAAATGTCACATTGCTAATGTAGGGCTGGCATTCACCAAGGGTCTCACTGGATTCCCATTCGAATAATTTATTTTAGGCCAGCGTTGTTTCTGAAGTCTGATCTACACAGCCATATTATTGCCATATGGAAACTAACCTCTGTGGTTGTTTTCAGCTTTAGATTCTCATTCTAGGTAATTTGGAGAAACTTCCATCAGACATTAGCTGTATCCTCTTCTAAATGGCTAGTAAATATAATACTGTGTCTTTGATTAGGAGTAAAGACAGATTTTTTGATGGATCTGTTATGCATACAGGCTGGAATAAAAAGCATAAACAGGAAAAAAAAGATTCATTTTTTTAAAGTCATTCTCTGTTTCACCAAAATTCAATTGGAATGATCAATAAACAAATGTTTCCAGATTTTCTCTGGTGAACCCCAAGCCTGCCTAGCCCAGAGACAGAGTAATGTAGAGGAGAACAGAAGCAGAGAATGGGGATCTGGTTCATCCAACTCCAGGGCCAGTATGCCTTGGTGAGGTTTGATAAAAACTGCTAGGCCAGGCGAGAAAGTATCTAAAATGTTTTGTTCTGTTTCTTTAAATCTTATGTTCAGTAGATGCAACACTGGGTTTGTCTTTTCCTCTAGCATTGGATGCTGACCCACCAGTCACCCCCAAGTTACTGGTGGCTCAGGCTGAATCCAGTTTGGCCCCAGAATTCTGGAATGTGGACCAGAATCACTGCAGGTGAAGCCCAGAGGGTCTGGCTGGAGTCTGGCACGCCAGGCCTGCTGGCTTTTCTCCTTGCTGGACTCCATCACAGACAACTACCCACGCAGGGTACACAGGGACTACATCTCCCTGTGTGCAGGATGCATGAAATGTGAGCCTAGCAGGGACAGAGCCCTGCAGAGGATGCTGGGTGGAAGCTAAACACTCCAGAGGATTCTGAGCAAATATTGAAAGCAGAGTGATTATTGAGTTGTGAGCCATGATTTCAGAGAAGTCAGCACAGGAGGGAGCTGCTAGGTGCCATTCCTAGGGAAAAGTTTACAACCTTTGGTCTTTTTAACCAAACATACAATTGTTTAACATACTATTTTAAAACAAAATAATTCTGAATCAGTGTCAAATTCCAGGCAATAACATCATACCTGGTATGATTAGCAACACTTAGAATCATCGAATGCAAGAACCAACATTTGGAACATTTGCCAGGATAGATGATAGTCTGTGCCATAAAAATACACCTTAACAAATTTCAAAGAATAGAAAACAGACAATGTCTGTTGTCAAACCACAATGGAATTAAACTAGAAATCAATAAGAGAAAGACAGCTGAATGCAAAGAGCCAGATGGAATCTTCAAAATCAGGTAGCCCAGTCCCTTCCTTCTCCAGAGAAGTTAAGTGACTTGTCTAGGGCAGCACAGCAAGTCAATACTAGAGCCTGGGGGAGGACCCCATGACCTGCTGCCTGGTCCAACATTCTTTTCTCTACTCCAGTTATCACTCAGGAGTTTCACATGTAGAGCTGTCGGCTTCCTAGAGGGCGTTTTCCTCCTGTCCTTGGAGGTCATATGGAATTAGATTCATATAAGAAGAGAAAGCAAAAAAATAAAATAAAATCCCTTTTTCTACTCTCCTCCAGTTAGTAGTGTATGTGCTGAAAGAAAGTGTTGGGAAGTGTCATGACACCAGGATCATGCTGACATCCTTGACTATCTGTGGGAAGAAGGACTACTTCCTTCTCCTGGACTTTGCTCCCGTAGAGTCCCACCACATCACAGAAACATCCAGGGCTTCAGAGAACCCAAGCCCTGTGTGGGATTATTGAGAGCGGAGGAGCCAGGACTCCAAACTGGACCTGATGGATCCTAGAAAGTCAGGGCTGAGGATTGGAAATCTTCCAGTTTTTTCTAACTTTCCCCTTTCCCCATTTTATAAATAAGGAAGTGGAGGGACAGTGTTAGTTCCAAGTATCATAATCGTTATCAGTATCGTCATCATTGTCATCATCAATCATCTTCCTTATCCTGGGCCCTTCACGAATATTATCACATATAATCCTTACAACAGAATCTTGAGGAGGCTATTATCCCCATTTTACAGAGGAGAAAACTGAGGCTCAGAAAAGTGAAGTCTTTTACCCCAGGTAGCTAAAGTAAGCAGCAGAGCTACATTACTTTACAAATTAGGGGCCTGGACAAATCTAGAATTAAAGCAGCTGGGCCCTCCGGCTGATGGTGTCTTTTGTTATTTCGTATGCCTCCTGGGAATGCAGAAAGGGGAAAAAAAGAGACCCAATTGAGAGAAATGTCTCATTTCCTCATGTCTATGTTCTCAGTTGGTACCTAGTGCTTACTGGCAGTTCTTCCTCCAGTCAGGTTAGGGCGTTGTGGCAAACCTAGGCAGTCCCGTGACTATTCTTTCATTGCACAATATGCAACAACACTTTATTGGGTGTCCATTATGTGCCAGTCACTGTGCTGCTGACAAAACATGGGACCAAATGAATACACACCCGGAGACCTCCAATTAGAGCAAAGCAAAATGCTTTTTAAAACTATCCCACAGCTACCAGTTGGGAACATCAGACACATTAACAGCCAGGAAGTGTAGGAGCGGAACACACAGGGCCATGTTTAAGTCTTAACTGGACCACTGTTGGTCGTGTACCTTGGGAAAGTCTCTTAACCTCTCTGAATTCCCTCTGAGCCTGAGTTTTCTCATCTGCAAAATAAGGATTAAAATCCATATCCCAGGAGGAGCTGAGAGAAAGGACGCAAATGCACACTCAAGGAAATGATGCACATATTTACCTGAATGTTTCTGCAGATGTCTTAAGTCTCTGTGTTGTTGGTTGTCCCTTGATTATTATCTTGGTATATCAATCTTCCTGCCTAAAGCAGGAAAGATTTTTTTCCTCCAGTGACTCAAGCAACCTTGACTCTGCCAGAATATCCAAAAGCTGGGCAGGAACTTCATTCCTACTTGTACCTTTCTTCTCCTGGGATCCTTTAGATCAATGCCATCCAGTAGAATATTCTGCAGTGATGGAAATATGCTATATACCACACATGGCTTTTGAGTACTTAAAATATGGCTAGTGTGACTGAGGAACTGAATTTTCTTTTTTTTTTTTTTTTTTTTTTTTTAACTTCCATTCATTTTAGTACCCACAAGTCCTGAGTCTGATAGCACATAACTGCCTGGGCCCTACTAAGAAGACACCCTCCCATCCCCTTCCTGATTTGGTTTATGTCACAGCAAGCAAAAATCATTCTCTTCTCCTATTGGTTAATTCTGTGATTCCTAGATTCCAGTGTCCATGAGAATCAGCTAGAGATCTTAATAAAACAGTTTCTTGGTCCTACCCTCAGAGTTTCTGCTTCTGCAGGTCTGGGATGGGGCCCAAGATGTTCAATTGTGGCACATTCTCAGGGACTACACTTTGAGAACTGTGGCTTAATGAGCATCTTGCTTGGAGACAGCCATGCTCTCCTGGAATCAGTAGACCCTGGAGGCCTACTTGGACACAAACCTCTAGGGGTAATGGTTCTTAACAATGGCTGCTCTTTGGAATCACCTGGGGAGCCTTTGAAATTCCTGCTGACCAGTCCCCACCCCAGACCAGCTAAAGTAGAATCTCTGTGCCTAGGAGCTAGACACAGTGTTTTTTAAAGCTCCCCAGATGATTGCATCAAGATTGAAAACCACTGCACTAATGGGACTTAACCAGATTTCTTTTGTCTGTGAAGAGGTAACAAAATTTGCTCTGTTTACATTGTGAGAATCAGATGAGACTAAATGCAAAAAAAAAAAAAAAAAAAAAAAAAAAAAAAAAAAAAAAAAAAAAAAAGTGTTTATAACCGTGAGACCTAAAAGTGAGGATTTAGGCACTGATGGCCTGGGAAGAGCCAGCTTGTTAAGACTGCTGCTGCTTCTGCTGCACTGAGATAATGCTGCTCTGTGTGGTTTGCATTCCAGTACTGTCCCACCGAACAGGCCGCTGCAGGCACAGATGCCGAACATGTTCAACAGTTCTACAATCTCCTGACAGCCTCCATCGATGTATCCAGAAGCTGGGCGGAAAAGATTCCCGGGTTTACTGATCTCCCCAAAGAAGATCAGACATTACTTATAGAATCAGCCTTTTTGGAGCTGTTTGTTCTCAGACTTTCCATCAGGTAATCACTATTTATCTTTTTTCGTTCTCTCCTTGCTTTGAAGCAGTTGGAAACCTGCTGGGTTTGTTAACTGAGTCATCGGTGAAAAGTTTGCTCAGGAAGGAAATAGGAAATTTGGTCAGGCATTAAAAAACCGGGCAGTGGGTAAAGCACTGGACTGGTAGCCAGGACGCCTGGGTCCTAGTCTCAGTTCTTACATGCACTTGCTATAAGACCCTGGGCAGGTCAGTGGCCTCACCTGAAGTTTACTTTCCTTTGTAAAATGAGGTTAGATTTGTTGATCTCTGAAGCCCATTGCAGTTCCAGCATTCTGTGATTCTGTGAAGATTCTCTCCTGGTGCATAAGGTATTTCCTGGCAGCAAGTTTTTGTTTTGAGCATTGCATTTACCTCATGGGTTTCTATTTGACAAGCTGGGGCTCTAAAGAGTTCCCACAGCTTCTCAACCCCCCAGTGTTTACTGCAGGAGAATCTGGATCAAAAGATTTGGTTCAACCTATCCTACTCAGTGACACCAAAGACAGAAAGGCAGTGAATTTTCAAAAAGCTGGAACCTGGGATCTGTCTAAGCTTTTCATACTGTGTTACCAGAAACTCTTGTTTAAACTGCAGATTCCCGTGCCTCATTCCCAGCTATTTTGGTTTGGAGCTACCTTGGAGAATGTTCAGAAATCTGCATTTTTAACTCATGTTTCAGCAATTCTGAAGCCAGTGGCCTGAGGTCCATGTTTTAAATACTGAGACTGAACGATTGTGTCCTTTGTATGCCTCTGTGGCGGGATCTGTGAGAGAGAGGAGGAGTTACATCTAAGGAGTCAGTAATTAGCATAATTACAGCCAAGCCGATGTGCACAGGAGCCAAGCCAGCAATGTGACTGTCACTTGTTAGGCAGACAGCAAAGGATTAAGTAAGGGATAAGCTCCCCACAGGCAGGTGCCATATATGCCCCATTCACTAAGTTTTCTCCAGTGCCTGGCTCCAGGAATGGCATATACTTGGTCCTAAGGAAATACTTGCTAAGTGAATGAATGAATGAAACTACTCATCCAAGAAGCACAAATTAAGAGATATTAACTTATCGCAATAGGCTAAAAGAGACAAAGATGTAGCAAGAGACTGGAAAATGAAAGGAAAGGTAAGATTCAAGTAAGGACCACAGAGAATTCAGAATTAGTTACACCTGTTGCTCTTTGAGCTCCCCTTGTGTACCAGGCCCGGTGCATGGTCTTTCAGATCCTTTATTTCATTCCCACAACAATATTAAGAGGTAGCAATCGGGATTCCTGTTTTACAGGTAAGGAAAAGGAGCAATTAAGAGTGGCATAGGCCCCATAGCTAAGTGGTGACATCTAGGTGTTCCAAGGCACCTGTCATGAGAGACGAACGAGGTGATGATGGACATAATATAAACTATCAGGCAGATGTAGAAATAGCCCTGCACCGGGGCACCTGGGTGGTTCAGTCAGTTAAGCATCTGACTTCAGCTCAGGTCGCGATCTTGCAGTTGGTGAGTTTGAGCTCTGCGAGCCCTGCAGTAGGCTCTGTGCTGACAGCTCAGAGCCTGGAGCCTGCTTCAGATTCTGTGTCTCCTCTCTCTCTGCCCCTCCCCCACTCACACTCCGTCTCTCTCTCTCTCTCGGTCTCTCAAAAATGAATAAACGTCAAAACAATTTTTTTTAAAGTACAGAAGGATATGCAAAATGACTGTTTTACTTTCAGTGACTTTTTATTTTTGTGATTGACTTCTGGCAGTTGCAAGGACTTGGTGTTCTTAGAGTCTGCAGAGTGGAATTGTAGTGTCTAGTCTCAGGTCTTTTCAGTTTTTGGCATTTGAGAATAAGAAGGGAAGGAGCCATGAAGGGAAAAGGCTCGTGTTCACTACAGAAAGAGGCGGTGCACAGTGCTTCACTGCCGTGCTCCTGGAGTGCCTGCTCCTCTGTGTCCCGTCCCGGGTGGGACGGCAGCTGATTCTCATAATAAGAGTACAAGTGCTCCACCCCCAGCTTCCCAGGGCTGATGCTCACCAAGAAAGTTTGCACAGACAAGTGGCGGTGGTTGTTTATCCCAGGAGCACAGTCTCGGGCATCAAGAGTATCTGGGCAGGTTTCACAGCATAGGCCGCCGGGTTCTGAACACTGCTGCGTGGTTACTCAGGTGCCTTTGTGTTGTGGTGTTGGACAGACTGAACACACCCATTTAATGTGTCTCTCTCTCCCACCCGCCATGACCTTGTCTTATAGGTCGAACACTGCTGAAGATAAGTTTGTGTTCTGCAACGGACTTGTCCTGCATCGACTTCAGTGCCTTCGTGGATTTGGGGAGTGGCTCGACTCCATTAAAGACTTTTCCTTAAGTTTGCAGAGCCTGAACCTTGATATCCAAGCCTTAGCATGCCTATCAGCACTGAGCATGATCACAGGTAAGCACCAGCTGGTCACCAAAGTGACTGTGTCCCTAGCCCCCCTTCCTCTCCTTTCCTGTGTTAAGGGGTTCTGGCTTTAGCTGTCACACACACACACACACACACACACACACACACACAGATTAGGATAATGACTGCCACTTTTCTAAAATCTGCTAAGTTTAACCTTGTTTAAACAAAGAAACATATATCTGCAACTTACTGCCATGAACCTTCAGGAAAAATCTGAATTTCCACAGAAGCTCTGTTGACGTTGGACCAACTGCTTCTGGGTTATTTTTACGTGGGGTTTTTGAAGGAAGTTTACCTTAACCAGCCTGTTCCTATGGAGCAGAAGGGGCAAGTCTCCCTTTCTCCCAGTCCTTGGTGGGTGACCCAAAGTAAAACCAAAAAATATGAAACATACCTTATTTATTTATTTATTTATTTATTTATTTACAACTTTATTTAGCAACTTTGGCGGAGAGCTGAGAAAAATAGATATTTATGAAAAGCAAAAAATGGCTCAACTCAATAATTTTTGAAGGTTGAGAACCAGAAGCATAACACATATTCAATTTCTGTGTTATGCCTTCTTCCCCCTAGATGCCTCTCCTTTTCTTTCTTTTTTTTTTTTTTTTTTTTTTTTAAGATTTATTTATTTGAGAGAGAGAGAGAGAGAGAGGGAGCTGGGGAGGGGCAGAGAGAGACGGATTGAGAATCCCAAGCAGGCTCTGAGCCGTGAGCGTGGACCCTGATCTGGGGCTCAAACCCACAAACCGTGAGATCGTGACCTGAGCCAAAACCAAGAGTTGGACACTCAGTCGACTAAGCCACGCAGGTGTCCCTCTCCCTTTTGGTCTTTTGAGAGAGAAAGGTTCCCAAGACAGAGTGAGAGAGAAGAAGAAAGGCACATCAGTGAGAAAAGAAATGCCACCTCCTTGTGGCTGCTCTCAGAGCCCCAGGCCCCAGCTCCCTTTGCCCCCCTCCCTCCACTTCCAAAGTGTCCTGTTCAGTCTCATCCTTCTCATCAGACTGGGGCCTGGTGAACCACTGACAGAGGTTGGAGGCTTCAGAAGAGGCCAGCCAGACCTGGGGCTCACCTGCCATCCTTGTCATCAGAGCCAAGCATGGGCTAGGCTGTCGGACTAGGAATTAAGGTTCAGATTTGCTACACTCTTAGCTGTAGAAAACATGTGTTTTAGGAACATAATGAGCTTCACAGAGGACCAAATCCATCCTTTGGTGCAAATGGGCCCATTTTTCTCATGTATCAGGTGGGTTGTTCACATGCACCTTCTTGTGACATCTCCTGTCAATGACAGTGAGATGCGTCTGAGTGCCTTAAGAGGCTAGGCTGGTTCAGCAATTAATGCTTCATCTGAAGGCAAATAGAAGTAATTAGCACATGCTACGGTAGGACTCAGACACTACTTTGTTCCCTCAGTGTTCCAAGTGGAACCCCACTTCCTCCAGGTTTTTGGTCCTTCTTTTGATGGGGCCTACCAGAGATTTCTGAGGGAGCCATTAACAAAAACAGAAGCAAGGCCATCTTGAAGAGGATGAATTCCATTTAGAGGGCTTTCAAATGGCTTGTGGGAGCACCTGAGGAAAATAAGCATGTTCAAGGCACAAGCTTATTGCTCCCAGCAGGACTGGAGTGAAATTGGTTCAAAGGCTACCTTTGAACTAAGCTCTTCAGCTCAATTTCAAAACCATTCAGCTCTTCCTAGGACTGTTCAACATTCAAAACTAGAAAGTACAGAGTTTAGTTAATTAAAAAAAAAAGAATACTAGAGCCAGCCTTGGCTTTCAGTAAACAAAACCAGTACATTGCCACATCTCTATGGAAATGACTGTTGAGTCTAGTTAATCAACAGGTGTTCACTGATCTCCGTGCTCTGCAGCGTGTCAGTGTGTTTTCAGAGATAGCACACATCCCTGGAGGAGACAGAATGCACAAACTAATGCATGTGGTACAGGGTGTTGTGGCATAGTAGGGATGTAGGAGTGGGCACAAAGTGCTGAGAGATAGAAGGTAGGAAGTGGTCTTCTCAAAACAGGTAATCTATTAAAAGCATGAATGGTCCTAAGGGTGCCTGGGTAGCTCTGTCGGTTAAGCGTCCGACTTCAGCTCAGGTCATGATCTTGCAGTTGGTGAGTTCCAGCCCCGTGTCGGGCTCTGCGCTGACAGTTCAGAGCTTGGAGCTTGCTTCAGATTCTGTGTCTCCTTCTCTGTCTGCCCCTCTCCCACTCACGCTCTGTCTCTCTCTCTCAAAAATAAATAAACATTAAAAGCAGGGATGGTCCTTGATAAAGGCACAGGATATCTCCAGGGCAAAATGGAAGGACTGAGAATTCTAGAGATAAATAAAAATTCACTAAAGACGTTGGAAATATGGCTATCATAAGTTTCAGGAAGGAAGTGACCAAAAAAAAAAAAAAAAATAGCATGCTGGGCGGTGAGGCTGGCATGAGAGCTAAGGGTGGAGCAAGGCAAGAAGAGCCCCTGACATCAGTGAGGAGGTCAGAGTTTATTTGGAGGACAATGGTGACCTATGGAAAATTTTGACCAAGGGAGAATCATAGTCAGTCTTGCGATTTAGAAAGAGCTACCTGGGTAGCTCAGTCGGCTAAGCATCCCACTCTTGGTGTCGGCTCAGGTCATGGTCTCATGGTTTGTGGGATTGAGCCCTACATCAGGCTCTGCACTGACAGTGCGGAGCCTGCTTGAGATTCTCTCTCTCTTTCCCTCTCTCTCTGCTCCTACCTCACTGGTGCTCGCTCTCTCTCTTTCTCTCAAAATAATGATAATAATAATAATATTAATAAGCAAACATTTACAAAGAACTACCCTGACAGTTGGCTTTGAGCACAAATGAGAGGGAAGAGGCCAGTTCAGGTGTAGGAGCTGTGGTTTAAGAGGAGAGCCACTGAGGCTTACACCTTTTGTTGTTGGTTGGTTTACTCTTTAAGTAGAAATTAATAGATGACTCTGAGGCCAGGACTTGTGGGTGCCAGACAGTCCCCGCCTGGAGATATTGGGCAGCTCAGTGTAGAGAATGCAGAGAAGGAATTAGGAGAAGGTGCTGCTAGTGCTGTCTCTGCGTCCAGTCCACTGTATGTCCTGCGGCTATAGCCGCTCAGCCCGCTGCCCTTTCTGTGGGGAGGTGCTCGGGGAGGAGGCAGTTTGGCATAGCAGACACAGCATGACGATGGGATCTGGCACCCCCAGGTTTGCATGTGGGGTCTTGTATTTAACAAGCGTGTGTTATTCAGTAACATGTTTCATTTCTCTGAACTTCAGTCTTCCCGTCTGTAAAGTGGGGATAACAACAACTATTCCATGAGGCAGCAGTATGGATTACAGGAAAGTAGCTTTGTGATGGAACCAGACCGGATTCAGAATAGGCACTCCATCCACCCACATTCCATCCTGGAGTGATGGTGACAGGGAGCCCCCAGTGTTAGGCACACGCCTGCCCCTTCCCCTTGGAAGCCCTAGGTAGTCGAAAATCAAACTCTGTGGCATGAGGAAGTGGGTGGTGGCTTTAGGAGGTATTAAGTTTGGTGAATATCTCAAGCATCCTTGGATGCTTGAGAGGCCCAAAGGATGACACTGGTATTGAAGAAATTAGGTTGCACTTACCAAGCACTTGGGCACAGGGGGGCCACGTCCTTTATGGGATACTGCCCTCAGTCCCGCCCACCTGTGCAGAGTTGTTACAGGTGCGGCGGGTATAACCCACAAGAAAAGTTAGCCCCTCTTGTCTCATTTCTGGACCTTGCAATACTTTGTGATTTGCTGGTTGGGAGAGTGTTTGAAATGTGTGAAAGCGTCAGGAAACGGCAGAAAAGGCGGTGCCTGGAAAACAGCAGTGTGCGTTGTTGCGGATATGAATTTCCATTTGAATATGGGCTCCCGTGAAATCCTCACTTCTGAATAAGCCCCACTGATCGTCCAGGGTGTTTGTGGAATACCAGTTGGACTACTGGCATCAGGAAATTCGTCCCAAAATAATTGTCTGCCCCTAAACCACAGGGAAGAACTCTTGAAAAGGAAGCAGAATGTCAGAAGTTTTAACCAATCTCTTTTCCAGGAAAATTATTAAGAATCTGTGCAGTATTAGAAGTTTGCACAAACGTGGCTTTTCTTTTCTAATTCTTTTTTCTGCTTCTTCCACCTCTCTCTAGGCCCCCTTGTGATAAACTAGGTGGGGAGGTGGGGCAGGAAATGGTTTCTTTCAGATCGCTCTCATTCCCCACAGTTGTGGTTGTCAAACGTTTTTGAGTCCCCAGTTTTTCTGCCCTAACCGCCCTGTTTAACCGGTGCCCCATCCCTGACATGGGAACAACCTACAGGCTTTGCTTCTGATGGGGTATCCGTGGGGGGGATGTCTAGTTATAGTTAATTATATTTAATAAATAAGAAGCTCCCCAAACATAAAGTTAGTGTGGAATTACCATTTTCGTAAGTATCCATTCATTAAATAAATATTGAGGTCCTACTATGTGCCAGGCCTGGTGTCAGTTTCTTGGGATGCAAAGATAAGCCATGAATAGCCTACTAGGAAGTCCTATGTGATTTTCATGTCATGAACTTGATGTGCAGTGGTTAGTGCCCAGGTCCTTAAAATGGACAGATTCAGTGCAGGGTAAGGCCAGACTACTGCTCACTCTTTTAGGGCAGAGAAAGATTGAAGTGCTGGTCATGAATGACTTCCCAAGGAGGTAGCATGTAGCCAAGGGAAGATAGAGAAGAAGGACATTCCAGACCAAGCAAACAGCATTGCAAGGGCTTGGCATGGAATACTTGAGCACCTCTAGGGTAGAGCAAACACAGTGGCACTGCATCACATGTGTTAAATCGCACCTGTAATCTCAGTAGAAAGAAGAACCAAAGGAGTGCAGTCTATTATACTCGATGACTATGTATCCTGGAGTGAGCAGGAGGGAGAAGACATGAACACAGTGTGGGCCCTGGGCTCTCTACTTCTAGTGGTGAGAGCTGCACTTTA